TGTTGAAGTAAACCAGAATATTTTCAATTCCTATTTTCGTGTGATTATATTTTTGTGCTTCCCTGTATGCCCGCGTGCCGCCCTGCTTACTATACACAAAAGTCTTTGTAAAAACCCCAACTGCTTCAATCCTTTACACTGCCCGTGTATCAAGTAGAAATTTAAAGTTCGTATTTAACACGTTGACTGTCTCCGTTTCATATTTTTAATGCGTAATATAATCTCTCACTTTTTTAATTTGTTCCCCTCATTTTTTCTGCCTCTTATGTATTAAACTTGTCTTTGGAATTCTGCAATTGCCTAAACTGCCAAGCTGTTTTTATGTACCTTAAATCACCTAGATTAGGTAAATGTGTGATTGGTGGATAAGACTGAATTATTGAAAGTTAATAAAATGTGCATAAACCTTTCATATATTTTCCACAGTTTAGTATCAATGAAATTTCACAGATTACAATGTGACACCAGGAGGAGTTTCTAGCTAATGATCAGGGGCTAAGTGAAGTTTACCTGGGGCTTGACTTTTGTTTCTGGAGGAGGATAATTGGCATTGGGGCTATAATATTCGGGTCTATATCCCCGAATAATCGGACCTAACGACGCCCATGGTGACACATAAACCTGTTAAATGTGTAGATAAATTATTTATACAGTGGAAATGAATTATTGTCAGTCACAGTGTTTATATTCCTTTTATCTCTTTATTGAAATGGCAAGTGCAGTTTTAATGTCGCACTCGCGGGATGGACGCGTGATCCTTATATTCGTCATGTATTTTAAGTCGTTCCATATACCAATGATCCCATGGTGGCAGTATTGGCAAAGAAATAGTTGGAGGTGTAGCTGAAATATCTTCCTTCCCCTTCTCGGTTATATGCAGAGAGGTGAATGCAGCCTCCTGAGTCGGAATATAATTTTCTCTCGATACCGGGAAGCTGAAAAATACAGCGAACAGGTTATTTTGTATAGGCGTATTTTTAAAGACCGTAATGACTGATAATGTCTTTGGAACAGAAAATATAGTTTAATGGTGGAAACGGCTACATCAACATAATGGAGATCAACCAATACAAAAGGACACACCAGTATGGCTGGGCATTTTTTCATTTTGCGGTTCTGTGGTTGTTGTGCAAAAGAGGATCTTGTCAAGTCCGTTACTCCATCCAGGAGGAATTACCGCTTGGCACCGTGGTGGGGAATGTGGTTAAAGACGTGGGACTGGATAAAAGTGGCCTGGTCGATCGGAACCTGCGCATTGTGACGGGAACAAAGCAGGACCTTTTCCTTGTAAACCAGAGAGACGGCGCTTTGTTTGTCAACCAGAGGATAGACAGAGAGGACCTATGCGGTAAAACTGTTCAATGTTTAATTAACCTTAAAGCTGTGATAGAAAACCCACTAGAAATACATTACGTTACTGTAGAAATTGTGGATGTTAACGATAACGCTCCCATCTTTCCGGACAAAGATTATCGTTTAGAAATATCAGAGTCTGCCATGTCTGGGGCGCGCTTTCAATTGGAAGGTGCGCATGATTCCGATGTGGGTTTAAATGGCTTACTGATCTATAAACTGAGCCAGAACGATAAGTTTCAGTTAGAGATAGAAGAGTTAAGTAAAGACAGTAAAAATCTATTTTTAGTTTTACAGAAACCATTAGACAGGGAACACACCCCACAATACAATGTAGTTGTGACTGCTTTAGATAGCGGCAATCCTCAAAAATCCGGCATTTTAAATATCACTGTTGTCATACTGGATATCAATGACAACGCGCCAGTTTGCGGTCAGCAGAAATATACAGTTAGCGTGCCTGAAAACATTCCGCCCGGTACATTTTTATCACGCGTAAATGCTTCCGATAAAGATGAAGGCACGAATGGCATGGTTGAGTATTCCTATCGAAATAAATTCAGGAACAGCGATTCAGAATTATTTGAAATTAATAGAAAAACGGGAGAAATCAAAGTAACAGGTTCAATTGATTTCGAAAGGAAACAATTTTATGAGCTAAATATACAGGTCTCAGATGGCGGATCAGTACCATTGTCCACTCATTGCAATGTGTTTGTGAAGGTGGAGGATGTGAATGACAACACACCTGAGATAGACATCACCTCCATTTCAAGCCGGATTCCCGAGAATACGTCTGTAGGTACTGTGGTGGGGCTGATTGGAGTAACTGATCTGGATTCAGGTGTGAATGGACAGGTAGTTTGTACACTACCTGAAGACGTCCCATTTGACCTGAAACATTCAACTGAGAACAATTTCTATTCGTTAGTGACAAAGAGCCGCTTAGACAGAGAGTTGGTAACACAGTATGAGATAATTATAACAGCGAGGGATCTGGGATCCCCTTCGTTATTCTCCGTTAAGACAGTCCGCGTGGAATTATCAGA